AGGTGCGTGGGCTAGCGTAGTGATGTGCAGGGAGAGGCGAGGGGGAGGACGCGTGTGTGCATGTGCGCGCGCGCGCGGGCGCGTCAGCCCCGGCTGGCGCGCGACCGCGACGTCTCGCGCTTGACCGGCGACACCTCCGGGCCGCCCTTGGCCGAGGCGAGGGTCGGCGCCCCGGGGGCCACGGCCACCTCGGTGTTGAGGGCCGCTCGGCAGCCGGCGCAGCTGTAATGCGCGGCCTTCAAGTCCTCGTCTGTGAGCTGCTCGCACTCGGCGTGGAACCACTTTTCGCAGGTGTCGCAGTAAATCATCAGCCGGTCCGGGTTCTCGGGACACTCGCATCGGCAGTACTGCTCGAGCTTGGTCTGGGGGGGGGGGGGGCAGATGGCAAGGGCTGTAGTCAGTGCATGGGTCCCGGCGGAGCTCGAGATAGGCGGCCTCCTCCCGGGGCATGTGCCGCGCCGGGCGGCGGTGCGCACCAAAATGTCCCCGGTGATGTGCTCGTATTTTTCCCGATAGTAAAAGACGTGCTCTTCGTCGACGTCCTGCGGCCCATCCTCCGGGTCGGACTGCTGCTGACGATCGAGCCACTCCTTGAATGGCAGGATGATGGCCGGGCCATTGACCGCACCCACATGGATGGTGTCCTCGTGGTCGGTCAGCAAGACTTCGTTCTTCCCGTGGTAGGCGCGTCTCCCGTTTTTGATTTCCTGCAGCGGAGGCAGCGCCCGCGGCGGTGGGGGAATGCACGTGCATGCATATACATACATATGGGTGTGTGCGCATGGGTCAGAGAGAGAGAGAGTCGCACATGCATGTCCGCGCCCATGCATATACATATATATATATACGTGTGTGTGTGTGTGCGCGCGCAATGTGGTCATCCTCGCGCGAGCGCCCACGACCGGTACGCACCTCCGGGCGGTAAAACCACCGGACCGTGATCATGACATCGACCGAGTCCCCGGGGTTGCCTTCAATCTTCTTCACCCGGGCCAGATAGTCCAGCCCTTCGCGGCTGAGGATGCGCACGGCGCATCCAACCGAGTAGCGGTGGTCCCGCAACGAGAAGGCACGGTACCGCACGCGCCCAGAGGCGGGCTTGCTGGCGCCGGTGCTGGTGGAAGCCGCCGCGGATTTTGCCTTGGCCGCGCGCTTGGTGGATGTCAATCCGCTCATTCTGTCAAGGAGTGGAGCGGAGAGATGGGGGACGGAGGGGGAGGTGGGGGCCGAGAGGGAGGGGGGCAGAGAGGCGGGACAGGAGAAAGAGGAGGATTAGGGGGGAGGATGTTAGGCGCCACCAGG